ATCAACCCACCTACCACTTGTCAACCCACTTACCACTCGTCAACCCACTTACCACTTGTCAACCCATTTACCACTTGTCAACCCACTTATCACTTGTCAACCCACTTACCACTCATCAACCCACCTACCACTCATCAACCCACCTACCACTTGTCAACCCACTTACCACTTGTCAACCCACCTACCACTCATCAACCCACCCACCACTCACCAACCCACCTACCACTCATCAACCCACCTACCACTCACCAACCCACCTACCACTCACCAACCCACCTACCACTCACCAACCCACCTACCACCTGTCTCTTATACACATCTAGATGTGTATAAGAGACAGACCTACCACTCACCAACCCACCTACCACTCACCAACCCACCTACCACTCACCAACCCACCTACCACTCACCAACCCACCTACCACTCACCAACCCACCTACCACTCACCAACCCACCTACCACTCACCAACCCACCTACCACTCACCAACCCACCTACCACTCACAAACCCACCTACCATGCAGCACACACCAGTCTATCATGCCCACCTTATGGGCAGATGCATGATTTCTCCCGCCATTACACGTGTTTTTTGTTTAAAGTGTTGAACGGTGGGTTTTTTTACAGGTGTCCGAGCAGGTGTAATTAACCCACTCCCCCCACTCCCCCCCCACTCCCCCCCACTCACTTCTCACTCTTTAACTGCGCGCCGATACTGAGCTCTAATTAGAGGGGGAGGTGTGCGCCACGGCCATATTTAACCCACTCAATAAATGCTTGCGTGGCCCACTCTAATATTAGCCAGTGTTACTCGAGAACAAATATTAGGTACTTATTTTTTTACTGGAGGAGGGGGGAATTTTGTTGTCGTGCATCATGATGCCAACGAAGAATAGGCAAAAATAAATATAAATAAAAATATTTACGAATGCAAAAAAAAATTCAAGGCAAAAAATTATGCAAATCACTCTTGCGCGCCATTATCCTCATTATATACACTCATAAAACGCACGGCTCACATGTCCAAATTGTGCCCCGCTTTCTCCCCCACAGCACGCAGCAGTGAGAGCGTAGCACTGATACGCTCTAACTGCGTCAGGATGACCCATGTAAGAGCGGGAAGTGCATCGAAATTTGCATGCAGGCTGAAGGAACCCTTAGTCGGAGAGAAAGATCCCTTAGTTAGAGAGAACCCTCAGTCGGGGTTACAAAGTTAGAGAGAACATTAGTCGGGGTTACTATAAGTTAGAGAAAACCCTCAGTCTGGGTTACTAAGTTAGAGAGAACGCTTAGTCGGGGTTACTAAGTTAGAGAGAACCCTTATAGTCAGGGTACTATGTTAGAGAGAACCCTTTATAGTCGGGGATACTAAGTAAGAGAGGACCCTTAGTCAGGGTACTAAGTTAGAGAAAACCCTTAGTCGGGGCTACTAAGTCTGAGAGAACCCTTAGCCGGGGTTACTTAGTTACAGAGAACCCTTAGTCGGGGTTAGTAAGTTAGAGAGAACCTTAGTCAGGGTTACTAAGTTAGAGAAAACCCTTAGTCGGGGTTACTAGGTTAGAGAGAACCATTAGTCGGGGTTCCTAAGTTAGAGAGAAACCTTAGTCGGGGTAACTAAGTTAGAAATAACCTTTAGTCAGGGTTACTAAGCTAGAGAGAAACCTTATAGTAGGGTTACTAGTTAGAGAGAACCCTTAGTCGGAGTTACTAAGCTAGAGAGAACCCTTAGTCGGGCTTACTAAGTTAGAGAGAACCCATAGTCCGGGTTACTAAAATAAAGAAACCCCTTAGTCAGGGTTACTAACCTTTAGAGATACCCCCTAAGTTAGAGATAACCTTTAGTCATGGTTTTTAGGTTAGAGATAACCCTTAGTCAGGGTAACTAAGTTAAAAAAATTCCTTAGTCGGGGTTACTAAGTTAGATAGAACCCTTATATACAGTTAGGGTTACCAAGTTTGAAAGAACCCTTGGTCAGAATTACTTAGTTAGAGAGAACCCTTAATTAGTCAGGGTTACTAAGTTAGGGAGAACCCTTAGTTAGGGTTACCAAGTTAGAGAGAACCCTCAGACGGGGTTACTAAGTCAGAGAGAAACATTATATAGTCAGGGTTACTAAGTTAGAAAGAACCCTTAATCTGGGTTACTAAGTTAGAGAAATTGTCAAACCGCGACACTTGAAAGACACACGCAAGCACACGCACACATAAATGCACGCAGAAACAAGACACACACACGCATGCACAAAATATACACCAAACAGCGCATACACGCACGGCCGTGTCCCGACGCGTCAAAGTATCCATTAGCGCGGACACTCTGACGCTCGTGTGCGTGCGCGTGTGTGTGCGCGACAGCGACGCACACGGTGCGCGCGCGTGTGTACGTCGGTTAGTTCGTGCGTGCGTGCGTCGGTTCGTGCGCGCTAATATCAGTCGGTCGCGCGGTGCTCAATTTGAAAGGTTTTAGCATAGACGAATATTCGAGCGCCGAGGCCCCGCCCACTCACTCTTTTTTAAGGCGCCGAGGCTCCGCCCACGCGCTCTTTTTAAGGCGTCAAAGCCCCGCCCACTCGCGCTTGCTGGCCCCGCCCCCGGGCCCTTCCCTGCCCCGATTTTTTTATTATTATAACCCCTCCCTCCTTCAGAATTTTCTTCGTGGACACTTGAGAAAAATTTTAAATACGGCGATGCAGACGCGAGATTAATGCGCGCGCGGCGACGCGGCGCAACGGACGCGCGCGGCGCACGCACCGCACGAACCGCGCGACTGCCGTGCGTCTTCGTGCCGAGGGATAAATGGGTTTTATTCGTGGCCGTATTTCTTCCCCGTATTTCATGTTCGTGAGCCAAGATCTGTGATAAATATGCGTGTACGTGGATACTGATACATGATATAGATTCGTGGTCGTGAATAATGATAATTAATTTTAATTCGTGGAAAATTATAATTAATTTCAATTCGTGGGAAATCGATAAATGTATTTATTTTTTATTCGTGTAACGGGATCTGTGACTTGGATTCGTATTCGTGGATAGGATAAATTATGAACATTCGTGTAGTAATAAGTGACAAGAAATAGTGGCGCTAGATTCGAGGTGATTATGCGCTAATGATGATTATGCGTTAATGGCGATTATGCGTTGATGGTGATTATGCGCAAATGGTGATTAAGCGCTAATGGTGATTATGCGTTAATGGTTATTACACGTTAATTGTGATTATGCGCTAATGGTGATTATGCGCTAATGGTGATTAAGCGCTAATGGTGATTATGCGCTAATGGTTATTACACGTTAATTGTGATTATGCGCTAANACGTATCAGCTTATGATGAACGTATTCAGTTTATGATGAACGTATCAGCTTATGATGAACGTATTCAGTTTATGATGAACGTATTCAGTTTATGATGAACGTTTCCAGTTTATGATGAACGTATCCAGTTTATGATGAACGTATCCAGTTTATGGTGAACGTATCCAGTTTATGATGAACGTATTCAGTTTATGATGAACGTATCAGCTTATGATGAACGTATTCAGTTTATGATGAACGTATCAGCTTATGATGAACGTATTCAGTTTATGATGAACGTATTCAGTTTATGATGAACGTATTCAGTTTATGATGAACTTATCCAGTTTATGATGAACGTATTCAGATTATAATGAACGTATCCAGTTTATGATGAATGTATTCAGTTTATGATGAACTTATCCAGTTTATGATGAACGAATTCAGTTTATGATGAACGTTTCCAGTTTATGAAGAACGTATTCAGTTTATGATGAACGTATCTAGTTTATGATGAACGTATTCAGTTTATGATGAACGTATCTAGTTTATGATGAACGTATCCAGTTTATGATGAACGTATTCAGTTTATGATGAACTTATTCAGTTTATGATGAACGAATTCTGTTTATGATGAACGTTTCCAGTTTATGATGAACGTATTCAGTTTATGATGAACGTATCCAGTTTATGATGAAAGTATCCAGTTTATGATGAACGTATACAGTTTATGATGAACGTGTACAGTTTATGATGAACGTGTACAGTTTATGATGAAAGTATANTTTGGGTGTCATTTACTAAGGAGGTCAGAGCCGTTTTTTGGTAGTGGCCCGCAAGCTGAGAAAAATTCCTAATAGTTTCCTGCTGAACAAAAGATGATTTGGCGGCTTCCAGGCTAATTATTCCTGTTTTTGACCCTGGCACCGGTTTGCTTGCTCCGCTTAATTGTGAGTCGGAGCTTGATCGCGACCACTGCTCACAGTTGCGTTCTTTTCTACGTTCGCAAGGCGCTTGTCTTGTCTGTACCAGTGCAATAAAGTTGCTTGTTTTCAGGTTTAGTTTTTGCTGAAACAAACCTTAGTTTTCTTCTTTTGGTGGAAGTTAATACTCGTTAATTGGTTGAGTAGTTACATTTTCTGCGGATACACAAATTGTACATGCGTATTCTGCTGATTATTATCGGTGATTGGAGCCGAAGTTGTGGACGTCAATGTTAATCATACTTAATGAAATAAACTCGAACTGTTAAGTACCATTACTAAATTAATAAACCATGTGATGATGTTTGAGAGACTTAAGTTTAGTTTGTTATAGGATGCTGACGTGGCGGCACTTCATTGCGTCCACGCTACATCCTGTCTCTTATACACATCTAGATGTGTATAAGAGACAGGTTTATGATGAACGTATACAGTTTATGATGAACGTATCCAGTTTATGATGAACGTATACAGTTTATGATGAACGTATACAGTTTATGATGAACTTATCCAATTTATGATGAACTTATCCAGTTTATGATGAACTTATCCAGTTTATGATGAAAGTATACAGTTTATGATGAAATTCTCGGTTCCATTTTACTCATTAATTTTATAAATGGATCATACATAATCTATATGATATTTTAATAGCTTCTGTTTATTTTAATTGAAAATAACTACTCAAAAAGTTAATTTCTCATTAATTTTTTTCAGTGGGCCCGGACCTAATTATCCAGCAGCGTAGTTTGTTTCTGCCCATTATAGTTAATTAGCTACTTAACTAGTGACTAATGGGACGCCAGTTAACAGATACCAGTTAGCTGGCGCATTAATGGACCCACTTAGTGATATGAGTGATGTGGTGATGACGTCATGCAACAACAACAACATCAATGATAACAACAACATCATTAGTGATAACAAAGTATGATGCTGCAGCAACATGACAACAGCAACAACAACTGCAGGTCGGTGTTCTTAATAACCATTAATATTATTCAATGACATAGTATAATTGTTATATTATATATAGTTATACTCAATAATATATTAGTATAGTGGTGTAGAAGCTGAAATTTTAGTATATATTATATTATATCGTTATTATTTAAATTACAATATTATTATATTATAAATTATAATTATATTACCAATAACTTATATATTTAATGCAAGTCTCGTTGAAGAGTATTTATCATTAAATGAATTTAAAATTCCATTTTAATAATTCAATAAAATTCCATTCAAATCCTATTATTTAAACTTTAATCATATTTAAAATATAATATTTTCGAATCATTAAAGAAATTTCAAATCCTATCAAAATCCTGAATAAAAAAAGCGCCAAAAATTTTTAATAAGAAACACAAACTATAAAAAAACTCGCATTATTAAATAACAATAAATGATTAGTTTTTACCCTCTTATTATTTATTACTTTTATTATTAATAATCTTATATTATTTCTCATTCATTTTTCCCCTTTGTGTTAAGTTGGCCTTTTGTCCCTTCACTTCCCTCTAATTCCCTCGTCTCCCCTCGTCACTTTCTCCGTTCTTTGAATTCCCTTTCCATCAATCACTTATTCCCTCCCCCCTTCCCTCTTTCCCCTCTTCCTTCCCTCTTTCCCCTCTTCCTTCCCTCGGTTTTCCGGGCAAGTGGCCAATTTTTGCGTCTGAGGGCAAAGCGAGACATGCGATCCTGCACTGACATATGGCGATCTACCCTCATATTACCCTCATATTACCCTCATATTACCCTCATAATACCCTCATATTACCCTCATATTACCCTCATATTACCCTCATGTTACCCTCATATTACCATCATATAACCCTCATATTACCCTCATATTACCCTCATATTATCCTCATATTACCCTCATATTACAATCATATTACCCTCATAATACCCTCATATTACCCTCATATTACCCTCATAAAACCCTCATATTACCCTCATATTACCCTCATATTACCATCATGTTACCCTCATATTAGCCTCATATCACCCTCATATTACCCTCACCCACATACACCCTACCCTCATATTACCCTCACCCACTGCACTTCCCGCTCTTACATGGGTCATCCTGACGCAGTTAGGGCGTATCAGTGCTACCACGTGCGTCACTATTAGGAGAATATGACATATATTTTTATGAGTGTAGGGTGACATATATAACCTAGCCCCAGGTATAATATATAGGATGATATAGAGTGGATATACACTGAAAGAAATGTTTGGGTCTAGACTAATTATAACACAATTATACATATAAGTCAACCGCGTATAAAGTATAATATATTTATATAAGTTATTGCGTATTTATATAAGTTAGGGGCACAATTTGGACAATTTGAGCCGTGGATTTTTATGAATGGAAGTTTTTTTTAAAAAAAGATCCCCAATTTCAATTTATGGCACATTTTCTTTCAAGTTATCATAAATGGTAACATTCAAATATAATAAATAAATAAATATGGTAAATAAATAAATGGTAACTGTAGATGGCGGGTCGAAATTTGGACAAAGTGATACACGTATTTGTATGAGTGTATATATCAGAGGCTATCTACTTGTTCCAATTAAGAGCGTCCTATCTACCCTCTACCATCTACAGCCTATCTACTGCATACATCTACTGCCAGTCTACCCTCGCTACTGAGGGTCATTCTTGTTCTTTTAGAGTAGAGGGAAGTATTGCATGAATAAATTATACTAAAATATTATTTTTAAGTAGTTTATAAAATTACAATAATAATTAATATAATATTTAATTATGAATTATATAATAATTTGATTAAAATATAAATCATAATTGAAAATTCTCTAGAAAACTAATATAGAATACTTTTTGTGGAATTTTCTGTCTTTTTAAATTAATTATGACTAATAATAGTAAATGAATTAATCAATAATGACTAATAATAATGAATGAATTAATAATGACTTATAATATAATAATGAATTATTTAATTAATTATAACTTATCCCTGTATTAGCTCATAACTGGACATATATTTTCCTAACATTTGTCCATTAGTCTTTATCCTCGCCGTTATATATAATAGAATAATGACCATTTCCATTGTTTTAATGTCTACGTCCATTTAAATGTTATTAATTATCTTTAGGTCCATTAAATCTGTTGTGTATATTTTTTTTGTATTTTCACAATTTTTCCGCCATTAGATGTTCCTTTGCCTTTTGAATTTGCACTCAATTTCGCCTCAATTTTCTATATTTTTTGCTTTTCCCCTTCAATTTTCAGTTTTCCCTACATTTTCTCTTCTTTTGCGATTTTCCCCAAAAATTTCACTCTTCTTTTTCTTCTATTTCCCCCTCTTTTTTTACCGAAATCTTCCCTTTTTTACCTCAATTTTCATTTTTTTCTCTATGTTTGCTATTTTTCCCTCAGTTTTGCTCATAACTCCCCTCTTTTCCCCTCAAAGATTCAGAATCGAATTAATATTTACATTTTCTATCTAAAATTTCCCTTTTTACCCTCAGTTTACACTTCGCTCCCTCATATCTTTGCTTGTACTTTATCTCTATCTCTCTCTACCCTCAGTAAAATATATGCATCAAATTGTCCAAATCTGATTTAATATATATAAATAGTGAAATATAATATAATAGTTAAATAATATATAATATAAATAGTATATAATATAAATAGTTAAATATAACAGTCTTGCAAAGTTAAATATTGAAGAATACATTCTTTAATCTTTAACTCTGCCTGTAGCACTGATACGCTCTTTAACCAGGCCACAAAACTGTGTCAGGATGACCCACACATTTCTTTGTGTATATATACACCCCAATACCAGATTCTATTTCCCCTCTCGGTCTCCCCTCAGCATTTCCCTCACTTACACTTCCTGCTTCCCTCTTCCGTAATAAACTCTACGGACCTGCTCCATATTCTAGCCCCCCCTTCCCCCAACCCATTATTAACCCCCTAACCCCCACCAGTCCACTCCACGGCCACATTATAATTTCTAATGGAAAAAATTACGGCTTGCGTCTAACGAAGAAAAATCCACGGACTTTGCCAGAACATTTCGACGCCGGTGGGGGGTGGGGGGGGTGAGGGGGTTAAATAGGAGGGGTTGAAGAAGGGAGGTTCAACAAGGGGTTCAACGGGGGGGTGAAACTAATGGATCAGGGTCATAGGGTTGAAAGAAAAAAGGGGTCATTGAAATGGGGTTAAAGTACAGGATAGTTGGTTGAAAACGAAAGCATTAGGGTTGAAAAGAGGGTTAGAGGGTTGAAAACGAGTGCAGAAGGGTTGAAAACGAGGGTATTAAGGTTGAAAATGAGGGAAGGTGGGTTGAAAAGAGGGTATGAATGTCGAAAGCAAGGGCAGTATGGTTGAAAACGAAGGTATGAGGGTTAAAATTTAGGGTTTTCTGGTTGAAAAGAAAATCGGTGGGTTGAAAACAAGAATTGGGTTGAAAATGATGGTACGAGGGTTGAAAACGGATCCCCCCTCACCCCCCCAATTATATTATATTATATTATATTACAATATTTTACACTATATTATATTATATATCGCATAGTACGACGTGGCTAAGACGAACGTAATTCCGTGCTGTGTTTTGTACGCAAACTTCGCCAGGTCGTAAAAAAAACTTTTTATGAAATGACAAGAATATTCTCACTTTATCAGTTAGCAAAGTTTTTTGTTACATTTAATAGCGCATTAAAAATGTCAACTAATCGTTAAATCATTAGTTGTGGAGTTGCGAATTAGTACTAGTATATATTAAAATAATATATTGTACCAATATTTTATAATCAATTAGTACTTATATATATATATTATAATAATATAATATTATAATATAAAATGTTATAACAATTATTATTTAATATATTTTATTTGTAATAACTGCACCTGCTACCTTCACTCCCCTCGCCTCTCACATTCACCCACGCATTCCTGGCTCCCCTCATTTTTTCTTATCCCCTCATTTTTTATTTATTTGTCCCCTCATTTTTTATTTCATATTTCCCCTCGTTTTATTATTTATTTATCCCCTCATCTTCCCTCTTTTTTTTTATTATCCCCTCATTTCCCCTCACCTCTCTACTCCCTCATTTCCCCTCACTTCTCCCCCCCCCTCCCCTCATTTTTTTTATTATTCCCTCCTTTTTTATTTATTTTTCCCCTCATTTTTTATTTTATATTTCCCCTCGTTTTATTATTTATTTATCCCCTCATCTTCCCTCTTTTTTTATTATCCCCTCACTCCCCTCACTCCTCCCCTCACTCCCCTCACTCCCCTCACTCCCCCCACTCCCCTCACTTCCCTCGGGCAGCATTATAGCTGAGCAAGCACAGCAGCAGCAGCGCCTTGATTAACTTAATGCTGTGGCTGCTGCTGCTGTGGCTGCTGCTGTGGCTGCTGCTGCTGCTGCTGCTGTTGCTGCTGCTGCTGGTACTTCCTTGCTACATGGGCTGCGTACATCGTTATTGCTTGTCGTATAATGTTGACGCTTCTTCACTTAAATGCTCGATGTTGTCTTGCTGTTTTAGTGTTGTTGTTGGCTCGTCGTTGAAGCATGAACTTTGGCGTTATTTTCGATGTTTTACATAATATGTAATGGTAATCTGCCCCCTACTTCGTGTTTCTGCTAAAGTTGAAGCATGCTATCGTATGTTGTGCTGATGGTATCTATGTAATGATATCTAACAAATTATGTGAACATTCCCTCGTCCCTCGTGAACATTATCAATGCAACAAATAACGCTCTTGCGACTCGTACTAGAATATTCCGAAACGTGAATGGAAACGAGCAGAAGCACGAGCTATAAAGAAGATCAAAATGAGTCTTGACGCACGCCACCAAGGGGCGGTGG